CTCTCTCTCTCTCTCTCTCTCTCTCTCTCTCTCTCTCTCTCTCTCTCTCTCTCTCTCTCTCTCTCTCTCTCTCTCTCTCTCTCTCTCTCTCTCTCTCTCTCTCTCTCTCTCTCTCTCTCCACTGTCGGATGCAGGGAACACATTACGGACATTCATAACTCACAGCGTCCGACTTTGACGATTTTGTTTCGTTTTCTTTGCAAAGGAAGCGAACTAAACCGCTTCTATGAGATAAAGATTGCGTAAGATTGCACAGTAATACATTTATAAGGAAGCAACATCCGGGAATTTTATGGGAATTTGCAAATCTTTTGCAGGTCTCCTGTTGCGTCTGATATCACCTTTCTGGATAAACGAGAGTCGCTCTCGCTTTCTATGTCGAAGGCTATACTTTGTTGGTTTTCTATATGCTTTGTTGGTTTTTCGTAGCGTTCAATTAGTCTTGCCACTTGCAATATAACCAAACTCAGGCATGTTCACCTGCAGGCACCGTGTCATGATGCTGAATCGTGTGATCAGCTCGTGTTTCGATTTGGAGGGGGACGTAGCTATTACGCCTGTTTTCATCAACAAATTAAATTTTTAAGCACCGTAAAGACGCTGTACGACGTTTCCAAACAGGAGCTCATAGACGAAAGCTCCTCCACCTCCTCCACTGAGCTCCCATTGACGACGATTATGACCTTGACACAGTCGAGACACCGAATTGATTCCGATGAAGCTGGCAGCTGCTTACTCTTTGAACTTCACAGCAGGTGCTGGTGATTCAACTGTGTGAGACGGTGGAGGCGGCTTTGTGCTTTGGTTTTTGCGCGCGAAATGAGGAAATTGGGAAGTAGGTGTTAGAAAATGTGGGCCTGCTCAGTCGTCCTAAACCAGATGAAAGTGAAATTAAACTCTTTATCTTTATGACTCGTGGAATGCCTTCAAGTGAGAGTAGTGGTGGTCACCTTGTACAGCACTTTTACTCGTCAATGGAAAGCGCGTGGCACCTATAACGCAAACTGTGCCATGACATATCCCCTTCTTATTCTGATGTACAACCGCCAGTGTGTTCTAAAGTCTAAACTCGATTCATGATCATGACAGGGATCCAATTCGTTCAGACTCCCGTCCAAATAGTCTAAAAGCGAACGGATTTACTGGTTAGCCAAGGGCAACATAAGTACGTACGCGGGAATCAGCAATATAGGTACTATACAATTTCACTGCTCTGGTAGGCCTGTAATCTGCATGGTCGCAAATAGGCAGGAAGAGTGGAGTTGCTTCGCACCCGGAGCTTATGCAAATGTATCATACTCGGTAGAAAGTTTTGTGATAAGACGGTCTACCTACCATCACTACCATGTAAAGAGAAACTAGAACTATGTATTAGGTAACATGCATTCTTTGTTGAATTGTTTCCGAGTGTATTTGTATTTGTATTTGTATTTACATTTAAGAGCGATCCACAATCAACATGCGTGGCGATTACTGCTCAGATTCTATCTATGCAAGTCAAGATAAATGGTTAAGAAAGACTGGTAAAGAGCATCTGCTTTGGTATAGAAAAGCACTTCTTGCATGGGTAAATAAATTGTGTTTCCTGGATACCAAGAACTAGCTGCTTTGGACACGTGCTACAGGCTTATACTATAGGGCATAGTGCCGATTCCTCTACTTAGACGTAATTATATTATCAGAAGTTTATATTAAAGTTCCATAACCACCTTTTTCTGATTGGAAATTGATTATAGGCTCGTGGAAGAGAAGTTAGAACATACATAGAATAAATGCATCGCGGCGATTCGTATTTGTTTAATGAAAAGTTACGATAGCCGTAATTTTTGACTACGTCAACGCCGAGTGGCAACTATAGTTGCCAGTCCAGAAATATATGTTAGAAATGTTTTTATTTTTCAATACAGCGTATGTGCATTTCTAGTGCATATAGAAACATAGGACATTTAGAAAAACCGCCGAAATTTGCCCACGGAATTATCGTCGTTAATGAGTTAATGTCCCATGTCAGGGCAAGCACCTCTTCGCAATGGCATAGTGTCTAGCTTCCTGTGGAAGAGTCAGGTCTTTGGGGTCATAGCCAGTGATTTCAAATGCCTCCTAGTTTTGCATATCACTACGCATGTTTCACATATCGTTTTTTGATCCGGTCTCGTGTCGGCTTTGGTTCTGGGTTTATTCTCCGCACGGGTTCTATGCCTCGGTTCTGGTTCCGGTTTCGTCTCGGGTTTCGGTTATAGAACCGTTCCTGATCCTGGTACTGGTGTGGGCCCTTTTCTTTACCGCCCATACCCCAGTCATGGTCTCAGTCCCGGTGAACGGTTCCGGTCTCACTCCTGTTACAGCATCGGTCCTAGCACAGTCACACTCCTGTTATGGTTTGACTTCTGTTAGTTCTGTTACGGCCTCGGTCCTAGCCCCTGGTCCCGGTATCGGTCTGGTTCCTGTTCCGGTCTCACTCCTGGTCCCAGTCGCGGTCCTGATCCTGGCCCCGGTGTCGGGTGACCGCCACTGTGTGACGCCCGTTCCACCATCGCCCCGTGGCCTTTCTCGTGCCGGGCCCAGTTCAGAGCACCGGTTCGCCTTGCGTCGACGGTCCGCACCAAACCGTGCACACTGCTGGCCGTCGCGGGCAGTCCGGGGCGACAAAAGGTTCAACAGAGCGCACCGACCCGTGAACGTGCCGTGGAAACGGGCCACCTCTGACGCGTAACCCGCGACGCTGGCGGTCCAGCGTGGGAAGTGCGGTCTTTTTGTTACCTAACGACTGCGCAGCGCAAACCGCTGACTTCGTGGAACTCCTGCTGTGAACAGCTTCCGCCATTCCGTTTGATGAGTTTGTAAAAATCCGCAGTAAATGCATGAGATAAGAGTCTGTATTCTACTCAGTTCAGTTTAGTAGATAACACATGCGTGATCAGTGATTACACATACCGCCGACCGGTCTGACCTCCAAAGTATATAGGACGTCAAGGTCGATCAGAGGATCGATATAGGAGCTGGTTGTGACCCCCCCCCCCCCCCCCCAGCGCGGCACCGACCGGTTTGGTAGCCCTGGACTGGAACAGATGCCACCATGGTCACTGGTCACTGGTCAACGACCACTGCGCATTGGTCACCGGTCACTGCTTGTTAGTCGCTGCTCATTGGTCACCGTTCACTGCTCATTAGTCACTGATCGCTGGTTATTGGTCACCGGTTACTGATCATTGGTCATCGGCCATCGGTCACTGCTCTTCGGTCATTGGTCATTAGCCACTGATGAAACTGGGTCAGTGTAGACTGGCAGGACGGCGGGCGCCCGACGCGTGCGTGAGGCGCCTCAGGCTATGGACGCTGGAATTGGTTGGTGCTGTTGCCTCATCGTCCAGAGATAAGAATCACTGGTAAACGAAAGCTGTCAGAAAGAGAACACAGACGTGACATATCATGACATCTGCACGCTGGTGTAAAGCTGCGGTGTTTTCTTATATTCTACGTGCCGTCATACAGGTAGTTTTACTTGTTCTGAGCGCTGTTTATATGTAGTTCGAAAGTTTTCTCTCGCAAGGAAATGGACACTGAACCACAAAAAGCGATAACATTTATTATAGGTGATCCACAAAACTCGGCAGTCAATTGCAAAAGTCCAACACCACTACCTTCTACCAGTTGTGATACACACGTCACTGTCAATGACGTAGAACGGTCGCTGATATGACTGACATGTGACTCACTCCGTCCTCGTGGAATCCACACCGTTCTGTCCTCATATGGTGTTACACCGGACAAGTGCCAACTGCCACGTACGGCACGTCCGATCTTGTGAACCTGCCGCTTCATCTCCAGCGGACTGCACGTCCTGCGAACACCGTCATCGGCGGGGGTGTGAGCGAGCGATGAGTAACGAGCCCTGTCGATTGAGGCTGCCCGGCGCGCGGCGATGGGCGCGCTCTGACCTTGCACTGAGGCGGCGGCCCGTGCAGGCTGGGCTGTCACGGCCGCCGTACCGTGCCGCCCTTCCATATACGTCCTCCCGTCCGTCCCTGGACGATAGTGGAGCGGGCCAGTCCCGACCGGCCCACTGATGGGCTGGGCGACAAGCGGATTCTGGTTGCACGTCTGAATTAGCGGGCGGCGGCGGCCGGATTCCCGGCCAACCAGTGTTGCACGCTGTACTGTGCCTGTGTCGAGCTGGCCGGCGAGGGATGTTAGAGTGGGCTGGCAGCCGTTCAAGGCAGCCGCTTCCGCGGCTAATTCAGTGAGATCCTCATTCTAAGCGCTCCGGTAACATGTGGTCCGATGATTCTAGACATCCGGCCGGATAGCTTTGTCTTTGGTGAAATCTGTTGGACACGAAAGGCCTGGAAGCTTAGCTCTAGCTCTTCCGTTTAGGTCAGCATGAATAGCTGGAAGAGGTGGATTAGTGTTCACGTGAGCAGTCAGACGTGCAGAACCGTGGGATTTACAGAAATACAGTATGGATTTTCAGGTCATCACACTGATTTATTCATGTATTCTGCCGAAATCAGACGTCTGCCTGCCTCGGAAACGCTTTCATCGCCGATTGAATTTCGTTTGATTGATTGATTCGTCCCACACAGCTCGTCGTTCTACTCGATTTTATTGTTTTGTGCCCATGGTTGTCCAACCATAAATATGCTATTAGTGTTGTTTACTTGCCTCCCTTTTTCCATTATTTTGTATAATTACACATCCCGGTGAAAATAGCACTGAGATGATTTCCTGAAACAATCTTCGGCAATTATCACACAATTACGAACGAATACATCGAACGGGTCGAAAGCTATTAAATTGATATTTGCCCCTGTGTTTTGTAAGAGCGTATTAGCCACTGCGCATCTTGTCTTCTCTAGTCTGTCTCTCTTTCATCCGTTATTTAGAGTGAGATGCCTCGGCGACCATGTCGTCCCTCATCTGTATCACCCTCTTCCCAGTCTCCCCCGCCCTCCCATCTTCCTTCCTGGCTGTCCGTGACCGTCCTCCCCTCTACTCAGGTTTGTGAAGGACGCGGACGTATGCAGGAGAAGGTCCCTCTGACCTTCTCCCTCCCCTCCCCTCTCGTCAGGTCGGTGGACGGCGCCGACATCTGCGTGGGTTTTCTGAAGGTGGGCCGGAAGCGTCTGTTCATCCTGGACTCGTCCGGTGGCCAGAACGAGGTGATGCCCGTCAGCGTTCTGGACTTTTACGTGCACGAGTCGCTGCAGAGGCACGGCTACGGACGACAGCTGTTCGACGCGATGCTGCAGGTGGGTCCGACAGGGTGGGGTGCGCCCCCCCCCCCCCGACTGTCACCCCTCCCCGGTCCCGGTCCCGGCCGGTGAGCTGAGCGGGCGCCGCCCATCAGTACAGTGGGCTCGCGGCCGACTGGATGGCTGGCCCACGCCTCTCATCCCTTCTCGAGAGAGCTGGGCCTCAAACTGCCTACTGATCTGATATTGTTATGTAAAAATACACTCAGTAAACGGAACAGCAAAGCTTGTGAGAACGATCTGATACGCGGGCTTCTGGTGAGGCTCAGATATTCCATCACTATCTGAGGGCTTACAATCACCGCGGAATGTGAAAGGTCGTTCCAGACATAGCTGCTGCAGATGCGACGCACTGTCCCAAGTGTTCAACCTATTTCATTGACAACCGACGGGCTTAGCTTTTACTTATCCGAATAAAGCTCACATCACAATGAATGGCCATGATGGAGCACAGCTAGTCGCCCTCAAGCTGATTTGAGTCTAAATGATAATTCTTTCTTGATAACATTTGATAAATAGAACCTACTTGCGCTTTTCATCATGACTTTGAACGTTAGGACCGTTTTGTTTAGTTGCATAAATATATCTATGTTGTCCAACTTGTTGTTCATTGTGACTTGTTCCAGTGCCTCTAATTTAACTTTCCTACTTCGTAGGGTTTCTCTGGACACGATTGCCTAGGTACGAGACGCCGTTGCCTCGTACCTTTTCGCATATGATAACGTTATTTTTGTGCATTCTGATTATTCTGGTTATCGTATTCATTGGATAAAGCATACAACATTCCTTTTTCTTTCATATTCGGCGTTTGTTTCCAGTCCAGTGGTTGGGGCTGCAGTTGTCCTTCCTTGAAGCACCCATTGCATGTTGCATTTCAAGCCCCGCATTGTACCGATACTTGCTAGCTGTATTTGATTCGTCTGTTTTGAATTTTGATTGAGCCATTTAAAACCTGTGGCTGTGTAAAATTATGAATACGCCCAACCGATTTTGAATATATTCTTAGCACATTTTTTATGTGTATCTCTTTTCTTATTGCACGCCACGCCGTGCTGCCAGCCGCTAACAGTGTTGCTGCAGCACGGTGCCTGACATAGCCATCACCATTGCTCTCTTCGCTCCGCACACTGTACCGTTGCACTGCCGTCATCGCACCAAGTGAAACAGAACGATCGGGCGTCTTTGTTCTACACTGTGGTCGCTTATATGATCACATTCGTGCAGTGTTTCTAGTATGTCCATTCCATCTGCAGTAACCATCTGCAGTTGCCGCTCGTTGTGTCTAACAGGCCACTCAGTCGGTATGCTGACTGTCTGGCTGTTGTGTCGCCCTCTGTATCACTTTCATTGTCGGACCATGCACTGCTGAGTGCGGTGACGGCTCCGTGCACCCCGCCCCGCCCCGCCCCGGTGGTATTCCATTGTTGTCGGCCGCCGCGGGTTGTACTTGGCTGCCGTCGTGTGACCGGCTCTCACACAGGTGACCGTCACATGCCCTTCACACCAGCCCGGCGCTCTGCCACCGCAGGCAGCCGCCGTGTTTATACACCGACGCGCTCCACCGAGTCGACGCTTTTGTCGAGTTCGAGACTACCCTTCTGTGTTGACGGGAGAATAACCCCATTAGCATCACTTTCCTAATCCTAGTCAAATGCCATTTCTCTTCCCAGTCACGGTTAGGTGTGTGCAATGTAATCGTATTGCCAGTGCCACCGTGCTCTCCTCGGTCCAAAGCAGACCTCGTTACTTTGTCACAGCCTCTTACACGCATCCCCATCTGCGCTTTCGGCCCCGCCGCGATCAGATTCACTGCATTTCCTTTTTGTCTCTAAATCTCTAAATTCACCCCATTTCGCCCCATTTTTTCGCAGACGGAGCGAGTGGAGCCGGTACATCTGGCCATTGACCGGCCCTCGGATAAGCTCACCTCGTTCCTGGCCAAACACTACGGACTGCGACAGCCCTGCCCGCAGATGAACAACTTTGTCGTCTACCCGGGATTCTTCTCAGACCGCGAAGGTGAGAGCGTGCGACTATGGGTGAATGGAATGCCGTGTGCGGTGTGGAGTTTCGTGTGGGTGCGATACTGAGCTATGCGCTCGCTAGGAATGTACTGACTGTTGAAGTACGATAGGTCAACTTGTTTTTGTTCAATGTTGAACTTCACGTGGCTGGGGAGAGCTAGGCCATTCTCCCTACCAGGCTGACTTAAAGGTAGTGTGCCAGCTTTCTTGGACCGTATGGAGTTAATGGCCGAGATAAGGAGAACCGGATTTTTAGAACTTATCCATACCTTCAAAACTCATGGAAACGTCTTAAATTCTTCAAATTTTGAGTACCCCAGTGCGAAATTCGCCCCGACGGGTTGTCGGTCGTACCCCAACCACATTTCACACCACTATGAACAATAAATGCACACACTGAAATCGCTATTACCGATATGTTCATCCAATCAAGTTTCGATAAACCCGTTCATCATCATCTCCTGCGGTTTCGAACACGCCTGTTAGGTGGCTTCTGATGCTCGTCGAGGTCGGAATTTCCAAATACGCGTGGTGCGTCGGGCCGCGCGCTCTGACATCGGCCAAGAAAAATGCGTCAGCTGATCATTGTCATTTCTGCCACTTGCGTGTGGTGAAATGGGGTCATAACTTATAAGACGGCTTTTTCATATCAATTATTTTACATAAAATCATATTTCAAACCATAAATAATGTTCGACAGCCAAATAAAAGAAACAATACCAATACGGGCTTACAGTTTAAGGCTCGACATTGTGTTGTCTACGATTAGACAGCTGATAACTCATTCCCGTACGTCGTATGGTCGTAACACTATAATGACCTTTGCTTATTGTCACAAGTGCGCCGCATTCGCGATTGTTGCCCGACGCCTGTTTGCAGGTGAGCCCACTACAGTTGTTATACATATCTAAAAACCGAAAAACTTTTAGGCGAAAAAGGCACTATTCCAGGCCCATTTTTGATTTTTTTTTTGCGATATTAGGTAAAAACAGAAGCTTCTTATCCTAGGAAAAATAAAATGGGAAATCTTTCAAAGGTGGCACACTACCTTTAAGGATACAATGCCAGTAGCTACCTATCCTACTCCGATGACTCCTAGTTCCGTTGACGTAGCAGCAGATATGTGACGCTGTGTACCAATCCTCCAGGTGACGCCCTGTTCAGTATCCGTGTGGCGCCTGTCTCCCCGGCCTGGTGGCCGGCGGCCGGCCGTCCCTCAGCCACCGACCCCACCGTGGAGCCCGTGTCGGCCTTTCACTCTCCCGGCCGTCACTCGTTCGGCCGCCGAGGCTGTCGTCGGCTGGTGACCTCCTGTGTCCCTCCGACTGACCGGCGACTGGCTGCGGCGGCCGCTCGGGGTCGGGGTGGATTACACCATCCTCCATCCTCCCCCTCCCGTCCCAATCCTCTCTCCTCACCCCTCTCCTCCTGGGGTTCTGGTCATCCTGGTATAGCCCAGCCGGTGATACCACAGGTCCCTGGGGTAGATACCACACCAGGGGAGGGGTCCTCACTGACTGAGACCGTAGCAGCTCCCCGGGTGGCGCGAAATGTGGTGCATCCTCTTCAGTGGCCGGTAAACGGGGAGAGGCCGGGTCTGGGTGCTGCGGAGGGTGCTAGGTCTGGGTCAAATCTGAACCAGTCTCCGGTGGTTTCGGTCTCTCAGAGGGATGGTGGGGTGGGAGGGGATCAGCGTCAGATAGAGCACACATCAGGGGATGTGCCTATAGGAGGGACAAAACCGTCCGGAAATGTTACCGAGATGGTCGGTGATCTGTCCGGATCGAGAGAAGTTAGCTCAGCGGGGAGATCTGCGAAAGCTACATCGGTCAACTCAGGAGGGTTTCTCCCCGCAATATCCCCGCAGAAATTCAACAACCCTCCCTCGGGTGGGCCATTTCCCTCTCTACCTTCATTAAAACATGGTGTTCCCTCCCACCCGGATGGATCTTCCATTGACCGCAGATCATCGACTGCATCCCCTCATCGTTCTAGTCCCGTCACCCACCTCGACAGCTGTCCCACTGGGAGGGGTTTCCCGCCTCCCCACCCGGCGGGCCGTCGATCCTTCCCTTACCTGTCCTCCTGCCAGTCGCCGGCTCCACCAGTCCGCGGCCAGCCGGCCTGCGGGCCGCCCCTGCCTCAATCTCGGGGCTCGCCCGTGCTGCCGAACTGTGGACCGCTGCCAGTGCCACCTACCGACGGTGGAGCGAACCAGACGCCCTATCCTTACCCCTGCCTCCTCTCCAGTGAGTGATCCTAGTAATCCAGCTGATTCCTTATTATGGCTTGGTTTTTAGACATCCATATAAAGGCTCCACATCAAATATCGCATTTCTGCGATCCGTCGTTCATTCTGTGTTGATTTGGGGAATATACACGGGCCCTAGCCGTCATAATGATAAAGCCTGCTCAATTGCAGAGGATGAGCTGTTCTATCCCAATAAGAGGCGATCACCGATGAAGAACGGGTATGAAGTCACTTCGATGGTCGGAGTCAACGGGTAAGTAATCGCAAGAAAAATGCTAGCGTCACAGTGGCCTTGTGTACTAGAGATGCCACAAATTTACAATTTCATTACCCGCCCCGCCCCGCAGCTACCCCTTGCCCAACCACAACTACCCGCAAGCTGATTTTGGCTGAGCAGAACCCGCAAAAAACCCGCAATTTTAAAAACCTGCTTTTGCAAGAAAAAAATACAGCTGTGTCAATGCTAGAGCTATATAAACCTTACTTGCTTCATTGCTGTGCAGAAAAAGGCAGCCAAACAAATAGTAAGGACTTGAAATTTCTATGCTAACTCCTCAGGAAGTGCACACTGGATAGTGGAAAATGAATACCTAATGCATCAATACATTTGAAATTCCTTTCTGAAAAGAGTTCAGTAAAATCTTTCTCTCACCTTACCCTTCAGCATTGGCTGAGGATCAAAATTTCACTCTAGCTCCCTCTCAATGTTAGGCTTCTAGAATGATATTGTTATCAAAATGAATGTTGATATAAAAAGATATGCGATTTCCAGTTAAAAATAAATAGTGACACGTTGAATAATGAGTATCCAGTCGATCTACACATAAAACAAATCATGCAAAATCCCAGCAAAACCAACTAACCACCAATGAACCACGCGTTTCTGGAAACATGCGTACAATTCAGATTTAATCACCTGTTAAAAAAGAGACAGCAAATACTAAATTAAATGTAATAATTTTAAAGATGGTCTTGGTAATGCTCTCCGGCTGGTCATCTCTCGGCATACAAATGACAAGTAAAAAGACAAAAGAAATAAATGCGACCAGCTACGTGGTTTTGTAACATGTATAACTGCTATTTTGAGGTATTCAAAAACCAAAACAGAAAAATTGATTGTAAAATTATTTTTGCGTCATCAATGTCAGCTTTCCTTCGCCTCAAAGACCAAAATTGACGCAGTCAAATGCCAATCCTTGTCAGAATGTCGGAACTGCGCCAGTTTTGTATTGCGTTATGTTTGGGCCAAGATACCTATAAGAAACGTTTGGGCCGCATGCCAGTCAATATTTTGATTTTTTGTAAGGGTAATTGGTGTTATTTTCGTAATATAGGGTGGGACAGAACATAGAGTAGGATAGGTAATTAATGAATTTGCATTGCATCAAATTTTGTTTAGCTGATAGCTCTTTTTTATGCCGACCAGACGCAAATAAAGTAACATGTGGCATTTGCTCTGATTTTCAACATCTCATTTAAGTCTGGGTTCTTCCATAATGTATATCTAGTGCACACTGCACATAGACTTCAGTTCAGCTTCCTATAAGTTTGCTTTCAGGTTCTTTTATGTTTTATGGAATGCTTTCATCAGCATTTACGCTTTGTAGTTTGTTGCTTGTACCCTGGTTTGGTCATTGCTAGACTGTGGATGCTATTGCTGGTTGTTTTCAGTTTTGCATTTGAAATGTGCTACCTTGATATATTTTTATATTTGGTTCTGTTTTTAAAGTTGTTTTGATGAATATTGTATTGTTAACCTGAGCAAATGCACTTGACATTGTTTTGCATCTAAAAAAATAAATTTATAGGTTCTTAAGTCTGACCGCCAAATACCCGCCACACGACAAGTTTTGCTTCTCGAACCCGCCAAAAACCCTGCGGGTTTTCAAAACCCGCAGAAAGCGGGTTCGCGGGTTCAAAAGTGGCATCTCTATTGTGTACCGACTCATCACGTACCGACTACCGAGTAGATACTTTTTCCAAGGTTAATAATGATGCTTCTCCGGTTCTCATTGTTTGCCGTGCTGGCAACAGCTCACGTTTGGGTTGTGTTTAATTGTAAAGTTTGCATTGTGCTTCCGAGCTTTTGGATTTTATGTGCTCTCATTTAACAGTTCATGCATCGCGTTATTATATATCTGACCGTTTGTTCCGTTCTATGTAAATTCCCGCAGTGTCTTGTCGGCCTGGACTTTTGTCAGAGGCTGCTACCGTCACCGTGCCGTATCTGCTGGGCCCAGGTGTTGCAGTCTCCTCCCTGACCCTCACCGCTCGCCCCCAGATCGCCCTCGTTCGGCCGCCACAGCCACGGCTGTTGTTCTGTGTATAATGTACCCAGGTGGCGCTGTCTCTCCTCTCTGACCCTCACCCCTCGCCCCCAGGTCGCCCTCGTTCAGTCACCACAGCCACGGCTGTTGTTAACGTACCCAGGTGGCGCTGTCCCCCTCACTGACCCTCACCGCTCGCCCCCAGGTCGCCCTCGTTCAGTCGCCACAGCCACGGCTGTTGTTAACGTACCCAGGTGGCGCTGTCTCCATTTGACCCTCACCGCTCGCCCCCAGGTCGCCCTCGTTCAGTCGCCACAGCCACGGCTGTTGTTAACGTACCCAGGTGGCGCTGTCCCCCTCACTGACCCTCACCGCTCGCCCCCAGGTCGCCCTCGTTCAGTCGCCACAGCCACGGCTGTTGTTAACGTACCCAGGTGGCGCTGTCTCCCTCTAACCCTCACCGCTCGCCCCCAGGTCGCCCTCGTTCAGTCGCCACAGCCACGGCTGTTGTTAACGTACCCAGGTGGCGCTGTCTCCCTCTGACCCTCACCGCTCGCCCCCAGGTCGCCCTCGTTCAGTCGCCACAGCCACGGCTGTTGTTAACGTACCCAGGTGGCGCTGTCCGCTCCCTAACCCTCACCCCTCGCCCCCAGGTCGCCCTCGTTCAGTCGCCACAGCCACAGCTCGGCGGCGAGTCCGTGCCGGCCGGCCAGTCGTGAGGTCCGTAACCTGCACGATCACCACCAGCTCTGGTAGCTGAGAGTCAGTGATCGGACGGACGGAAGATCGACGGGCGTCGGACGCGGCGGAGATGAGGAACCGCCGTCGGACGTACGACGTTCAGTAAGAGCAACACGAACACAGTCGCGTGGGAGAGATGTGGTAGGTTGTCCGCGTGTTCACAGGGCAGGGCAGGTATCACTGTATTTTATATTGCCTCATGTATAGACATGCCCTGTGCTGCAGACGGGTGGTAGCTAAAACCGGCAGCTTTATATGGGAACAAGCACATCAGTCGCTACCGCGAGGCCAGGTAGAGTGGTGTCTGCACGCCGTGCTCTGCCTGCCTCCCCCCCCCCTCCCCCCCCCCCCCTAAGACACCGCGTCAGGCACAAACAATCCGTCCCAATCGCTCCTCGCCCGCTGGCCGGAAAGCAGCTACTGAAGATTCGTAAGCCGTGCGCCTCGTCAGGAAGACAGACTGATGGAAACTGGAGATTATTATATATCCGTCTACTTAATGTTATAATGGCTGTTAGAGAGTTAACTTACTGGTCTAGTGTAGGCCGCTGCGAGCAATTGGTCCGCTGGACGGAGCCGGGCCGAACCGGACCGGACCAGCGGTGGCGTATTCCGCGCTCTGCCGGCCGCCCTGCCGGCCACCCACCAGTATTAACCGCTGACGAGCGGCGCCGGAGCGGGCACCGTCACTGCCACCGCTGTCGCCTCCGCCGTCCACTGCTGTCCGTTGTGCAATCGTCATGTGCCTGTATTAACCTCCCCGGCTCGGTACAGCCGTGCCGGGCGCTCACTGACACCAAAGACGGCGTGCGCTGCGCCGCGACTCGTCACTGACCCACGTGCAATCTCTGTAACCCACTCACGCTAGTCCTCTGCTCCCCGCTGAGTTACTCATTTACTTGTGTCCCGTTGTGTCGTGCTTTCTCTGAATACTCACCCTAATCATGGTTTCGGGACGGGCTACGCACGTTTTGGCAGCTAACGTCTCAGATTAACATATTTATGTACTCACTCGTTTTATATTTTGCAATGCATAGAGGTGTATGAGCCGTCGTGTAACTTGTCTTAGATAAGTGCACTTAGCTGGTGGGTCCAGTGAAATGGAAGCGTTTGCTGTCTTTAAAGTCAATAAATGGAAGTTTAAAGTTTAAACCATTCGTTTTTAATTACAATTCGTTCGACAAAATCGCTGGCTATTTTGCTAGGTCGTCATATTTAGTTATTTTGCTAGGTCGTCATATTAAGTGTTTCGCACTTTCTGTCAGTGACATGCTGACTACTGGGGTCTGAATGCATTAGCAACTTGAAAGATGTTACGATTTACTGCCCAAGTGGCAAGTGCGATTCTTACCATCCGTGTTCACTCACATTTCTTTATTACAGATGCAAAAGATTAACAGCTGGTGTTACATACACAGTAGACACACATGAGCGGCCAGCACACAGACATTTCTCCCAGTTGATACAGATTTCAGATACCCCTCGACTGTACTGTACAGAGGGCGCCGCGGTCGCACCGACTCCATTGCACGGAAAGATCGCCGCTGCGTATGACGTCACACGTAGAACCGCACGCTGACCAGCCCCCACGCCCTCCCGGTGGAATGTTGAGGCCATCAGCCGCGAGCGACGTCACACACAGACTCTGGGGTATCACAAAACAGCTGCACCGGTGCCCACCGCCGCACTGAGCGGGTCCGAGTAGAGTCCAGACTGTCTGACAACGCGTCCATGCGCGTCACATACACCGCTTCCTATCGACATCATGTTAAACGCTGTACAGACACAATCTGAACAGTTCGCATCTCCCGACGGTGTTGTGTTGTCTGTGAGGTCTTTTATTGCAAAAATAGTCCTCACCGATTTGAACATTGATGTAGCAGTTGGTGTCAACGGTATGCTGGTCGACAGCGATATAAAGTACACATTTGCTCCATCGTCATCGCTGTCATAACCGACAGTCAACGCCTTTTTACCCTTACTTTTTGGGAAGAGTATGGATGACGTCATCGCTGTCAACAGCTGTCCACATGCTGCAGCTGTCACAGCGGCGAACACGATCAGCAAGCTGCTGTCGACACTTACGAGCCGGCCAGTGCTCTGACTAGAATTATGGGTGGGCTGAGTCCATTGAGGGTCACTCCTCGTCACTTCGCAGAATGCCGCTGCCCTGCCGGTCTTTTACTGACGTGACTCGTTTGCCGTCCCATGCCAGCCATTTGCAAACTGTATCACTGCCGCTGACCAGTCAGTCACATTTCCAAGCGGACTGGGGCCTGTTTCTGCCGGTTTGAATCCCCGGCCAGCTTTTCTCGGCTTGGTTCAGACGTGACGGCGAGTCCTGTCCATCCTTCGCCTGCAGTAGCGTGTCCTCAGTGGTCGCGATCGGTGAAGTACGAGTTCTGCATGAGGTACAGCTTGTCGATGGGGTTGATGCTGCCGTAGTTTTGCATCATGTCCAGCGGCTGTGGGGCTGACGACGTCTGCATCCTGCGGAAGACAGTTTCATGGCTGTCAGTGTTTGGTCTTTGGTCCGGTTTTTAGTGCTCGAATACACTATACACGATAAAACGGTTGCGCACTCCACGCTATTTAGGCTCTTTGAAGCTCGAGCTGTTCAACATAACACTTCCGTCTGGGCTCCTAATTGTTACCACTTATGTACCTATCCCGGAGATCACGCCACATGCACTTCTGACGAACGCTACACACATTGTCAATAAGTCGTCATTGCTCAATTGATTGGGCGGCTTAATCGTTCACTTTGCCTCGAAAGATGTAAACTAGAATCCATAGCGATTGGCGTGGCTACTCACATGTTGGGCTCGGCGTGGCTCTCGTCGAGGTTCTCAAATGAGGCGGTGTCCTCGAGACTGACGTCATCCGAGCCACAGAAGCTCTCGTTTGATTGTGCTGGAACAATGGAAAAGAGTTAACCCTCGCCGGACCTATTGGTTTTCTACATACGCGCCGGCCGAGGGGGGGCGGGTACGACCCCCCCTCGCCGTTTCGCCCCTGGTGGAGCTAGCGCGTCGCGGAAAAAAAAACGAGCGTGTGCGCCGTTACGAGACGCAGAGATTGGTACCCGATTTTAAGGTCCTAGGTCAACCGGTGACCTCTGAGGTCAGGTCAAGTGCCCCAAGGTACGGTTCAGTTTTTGGTGAATAACTTCGCAAAAAACGGCCGCAGAGCGCCGATTTTGGCAGCATCGTGTTCGTCTCGCTCAGGCGCGTCGAATGATATACTTTTTGTCCGGGTCAGGTCAACTTGGGGTGTTGACCTCAGGTCAAGGTCAGGTCAGCACCCCCAGGTCACGAAGTTGGTCGAAAGAGGTCATGTCGCATATCATTCGATTCGTCAGGTCTTCCTGAGTCCATTGGTGGCTTTCCCGACTCGCTAGCTCAATTTGATCAAGAGTTATTGACGAAAAACTAATATGACCTTGATGACGTCATAAATGACGTCACGCAAGGTCAACATTGCAAAAGTGACGCATCTAACCTTGCAAGGAGTGCATCAAATCACGATTCTGTGTGCTTGAGATAGTTGGAGATCGTTCCCGGCGCCAGAATAGCAGTTTTAATTTTTCCCCATTTACTTATAATGGTGAGGTCACGAAAATGACCTGACCTCATATGACCTTTAGGAAAAATCCGAGATATACAAGTTGTGGGACTCATAATGGATACTAGATCCTGCAAGTTTCATTTCCCTGTGACATCTCTGGCAGTGAGGGCGTTGCGAAGTTGCGACATCTGAAGACCGTGCAGAGGTTCACTTATGACGTCATAGGTCAGTGACCTGACCTGACCCAAAAATGCGGTTGGTGTCAAAAGATCCGGCTTGGATCAAAGGTCAGGTATGCCAAGTTTCAGCTCTCTATCGCCAGCGTGTTCGGAGCTATCGCGAAAAAACCCTATGGGGGGGGGGCGGCACCCGCCCCCCCCCCCCTCGGCCGGCGAGGGTTAAAGGAAATAGTTCACTTTTTATCATGGGTTTTGAACTGGAATAGCAGTTCCGTAGCTTGGGCTGAGACGAGCATAAATCAGGAGCTTTTACAGCCCAACGATCACCCTAGGCAAAGATATTCTATTTCTCGTCCCGAAAAAGGTGTCTTGCGTTGAGGATGTGTGCCTTGCATATATTTCCATCCAGTATGAAAAGAGCATGGGTCCCGAAAATTCTTCAGAAAGTAGAGAAATTATCTACGAGAACTCTAGAGAAATTCTCGTACTGATCAATTAGGACATTCAGGGGAACATTATCAGATCGAGCAGATCGCCCAAATGCCGGTGGCTGCGATAATTTCTCTGTTTCTGAAGAATTTTCGGGACCCATGCTCTTTTCATACTGGATCGCGTGTGCCTTACAGAAACTGAAAAGTTCTTCCTATATCAAAATATAGAAAATAATCTTTTGTTATAAAAAGGTTTTATTTTCTTTGCTGATTATTTTGAACATAAAAAATCATAAATCCGTTGCAAAAAAATAATTTCGTGAAAGTGAACTATTTCCTTTAAGTGTGCTGCCGCCTGCGAGCGCTCGAAATAACCCGTAAAGAGACGATATTCCTTTTTTGGTGACCGAAAGACGAAAAAGTCCATTGGTTGGTAATGGAGGTGAATTGCGAGTAGTTACAGCATTGGGATAACGGTGTAGGGCGATCGGTATATTCTTAGAATAAGGCTTTCAAGTGTTCATCATATTGACTTTTTTTCGCTTAGTGGACTGAATGCGTGTATGTGACTGCCTGTGCAGTGTGATTGGTCTGCTGCTTACCGTCAGGTGAGTACGGGTGACCGACGCTGGGCGTTCCAGAGCCGTACGGACTGTCAGCCACATCTGCAACACAAAGGAGTTGTTTTTAGATCATGACACGGCACTTAGCGATATAAAGTAAACGATTTCGGACAGCTCTTAGTCCGGGCACTATTCATTGCCAACTTCTAAAAAGTTCACCGTTGCGAAAGTTAGGAATGATCAATACACTACTCTGAGAGTTTCCATCCCCTGTCACTGGGGAACCATGCCGCTGACTTTTGACTCACAATCAGCATCGGCCTTCTTGTCGGTGGCGTCGGCGGCGTCCTTCTTGTCCGGCTTGTCCTTGTCCTGGCCGTCCTGCTGCTGCTTGGCGCGTCGCTGCAGCTTCTTCATCTTGGCCCGCTGGTTCTGGAACCAGACCTGCACCACGCGCACTGACAGACCCGTCTCCTTGGCCAGCGCCTCGCGGATCTGAAACGAGACGAGACCGATCGGTTATTGGAATTGCATAGGCACAGCGACGATCCTTTGGTGTTGAGTGAATGTAATGAGCGATGCGTCAGAGAGTTCAGAACCGTTTGGTCTCCTTTTATTGGTCTAGGTTTGATTTTAGCCGATACGTTTTCTCGCACCACTACCAGTGCGCACCAGCAGCAGTTTCTGTTGCCCTGTACCTTTTCAAAAAGTTTGTTGTCTCGCGTCGTAAAGTTCTGATAGTTCTGTACAAACTTTGTACGGAAAAGTTTGGTGACGGAACTTTGTCAAAGTTTGTACCTGCATTCGTGCGAAATTAGTTTACCGACTGACGCGACACTTGGCTGTCACGTGCAAAGCATTCCTGCTTTCTTGGCTAGTAATAGTGCACTTAGTCAGATAAGTGACACCTATGCAAGTACCTACATTTCTTCGAGACGATCTTATTATCGATGGATGTGCTTAAATAAGAAATATGTAATGTTGGAATGCAATTATTTGTAGGTACAGATATGTGCGTTATTGCTTATGTATCGTATACCAATGCCGTTCACACAGCATTCAAGACGACTACTGTTAACGCCAGGCGCCTTGAGACCCTAATTTTTCGCGATTATTTTAGAATGCGTGGAATAATTTTAACCATATTTAGGAAATAGCTGTTTCAAGACCTGCCGAAACTTTTTCTTCAAATACATTTTGCTGTCACTTAAATATTTGTGGCACTTGTCATTGACTCGTAATGTTAACTGTTTTTCCATCCTGGATAGAGGCTTTCATACCGGTCATATGACAGGCTCCGCCCACAACTGCGGCATTGACCCGTGCCCATCAGCGACCTCTGTACAAACGACACCCCTGCCATCTGTAAAGGACTATGAATTTCGCTGACGTTTCACGTGCTATGAATCAATTGCAGCAGACCGTCAAGTAAATGTTAGGCTCTTGTTGACTCTTGTAGGTACATGGGACCAAGAGGACCAGCACTCCTCATTCTACTACTCACACATGCTTCGAAAACCGTTAACGATTCCTAACAAATGCGATTTTCGATGTAGGATATCTGTTTGCTGAAATACGAGCGAGCCTTATGATGTGAAGCGAAGGCAATTAGCTAATTATTGCGCTGGTCGATGGGTACATAGCGATGTACAAATCGGGAGCTACTTGATGACATCCGACATCCCATTATCGCATTATCTGCAACGCCATAGGCTTTAAATACAGGTGAATATTTCCTAACCTTATGTCAGTTATGTGCCATCTGCCCGTCATTTGCAGCTTATAAAAAAATAAAACAAATATCAGCGAACATATCAGCATTGTACAAGCAATGCGCATTGAGCATTTATGGCTCCTCAGTCATCATGTCGCTCTTTGGGCACTGTCAGACAAGACGTTACGCACAACTCCGCCGGCTTTCGGCACCGCTCGACCGTCCCCACTCCCCGTCACAGCGCGAGTGACCGCGCGCCGGCCCGAAACCGCCGCAGGCCAAGACCACAGAGGCGGGGCTTAGCTGTGACGTCATAACGTATCGCAGACTGACTGGTGATAGCCTCTACACGCCGGGTGAAAATCTTGCTCGAAATTTAACATTACGAGTCAATGAGAAGTGCCTGAAATATTGAAATGGCGACAAAATATCTAAATTGTAAAAGTTTCGGCAGGTCTTGAAACAACTATTTCCTAAGTATGGTTGAAATTATTCCACGCATTTTAAAATAATCGCAAAAAATTAGGGTCTCAAGGCGTCTGGCGTTAACAGTAACTGCTATCACTCAATGCCGCCCTAGGCGACGATCTCACCTTTCTGCACGGTTTGGGGCTGACCTCGAACGAGGCCTTGAACTGACGCCGCTGGGCCGAGGTCAGTATCGTTCGGGGCCGCTTGGGACCCCTGCGACCGTCCCGAGGCCGGCCCGTCTCGTCACCCAGGTCCAGACCTGCGACAGGGACAGAAGGCCTTCACTTTTTGCTGGCTTAGGTAGTCAAAAGAAAAAGATACGTTGCAATCATTGAAACACCGTCCATGCATTGACGATATTTTGCGACTTGGTTGACGACATTAAGTTGGGCAACTTCATCGAACTAGCACTGCAGTTTGAACTTCATCATTAAATGCCTACGGCTACATGACACTAATTACTTAATCATATTCCATTTCCATGTATAGGTAGCATCGCAACGTCACTATCGTTAGTTTGATGTCACAATGCCATCGGCTAACTCCTCCATTGCACAGTTACCTGGAATGCCGGCGTCCCAGAAGTCTCCCTGTGTCTGCTGCAGCATGAACATTTCCTTCTCATAATCGGCCCTGCAGAGTAGCTGACCCTGTCGCAGCACGAACTGGTCGCCCTTCTGCAGCAGCTGGCAGCACACCACGCACACGAAACACTGCATGTGGTACACCTGTGTCTGGGCGCGCATCACCAGCTCGTGAGGCAGCGCGCGCTCCCCGCAACCGGAACACTTGACCAGGTATAGCCTGCGGGCAGACGGGTGGCGAGGTTAGAGGGGCGTCTGGTGGCACACAGGACCACAGGTCACAGATGGGTTGAGTGTGGGGTAGCGGGAAAGACAGACAAAAAAACATTAAAGCAAACGCGTGTCTGAAAGCAACTGCTGCTCTTCAGTTCAAGCTGCGTTAGGGCAGTCCCTACTAATCACGAGCACCTCTCTCATAGATGGCAGTAGTAGCGAGCGCCTGAAGTTATGCTGTGCCGCAACGCTCCACCGTACTGCGTGCGTTGACGAGTATCTCTCCCATAGATGGCAGTAGTAGTGAGTGCCTGAAGGTATACTGTGCCGCAACGCTCCATCCTCTACCGGATATGGTTTCTCTGTCTCGCATTATTCGCGTGCCACCGCTGAATGTCTAGGCTTTTGCAATGATGCGCAATTGTTCTTAAATCAACATTGCGCTAGATATATTGGCACCCTGCTAATAACAGCCAATGGCGCGAGCAAAGGCGGTGTAACGGGGAGGACACCGGGGCACCGTGCCCCCCCCCTTTGATTTTGACATTTTAACATTAGCCCTATGGGCGTTGCGTTGCATGGAAAGAATGGGACCAAAAGTCGGCAGTGCCCCCCCCCCCTTAATTGAAGGTGTTCCGCCGCTATACTGGGCGCGAGAACTATTTTCTGCATGGTGATTGGTGAGTTGGCTCTTCTGAGTTTCTGCCGACATTCACGGGTGTCGATTGATACCTTCAATCAGCATAAGGTTCTCCCGTATCTAGTTTTCTTCACGTTTTCTCAACGTTTTACAGGCCACTTCTTTCGGCCTTGTCTTTTTTATCAATTACTTGTTTTTCAGCGCTGTCACCAAATTGAAAAAAGAGAACATGTACAAGAAGCAACAACTTCTTCATAGCTCAACGGAGTTGAAAAACACTCGCTCCATAGCTTTGAACGGAGATAGAATTATACGGATAACACATCCCACCTCCCTTTTATCGGGAATAACACATCCTCCTTCGTGAATCGTGATCACATTTCCGTGTCGGGACTGACACCGTGACGGTCATCCGACCCAGGCCAATGCAGACGACGGTTCTAAAAGGAGTACGAGTGTGCCCGTCCAGTCGACCGTTCAGGTGAGCGAATCAGGACAATGCTTCCTTCTTATCTTTTCATTTTATCATCCTGAAAAGATCTACCACAGCCGAAAAAGCCTAAACCATGCAACAAAAAGTAACAAAAGGAGGTACAGACTGCAGTTGGCAAACGCACAAGCTAGAAAAACACGGTAAAAGCAATAGATAGTTCGCTATAAAATCTTTCAGGATCATACAGGTAATTTTTGATTGGGTCATCGCCGAGGTCACCAAAGGTAAAACTTTCACGAATTTTGTTCCTGATTTTGATAGCTTTTCACAAATCGGCGCATAAGTCGGGATTCAATAGAGCAACTTCGCAACTTCGCAACGCCCTCACTGCCAGAGGATATCGAATGCCCTGTGGAAAAGCGTATTCGATAACTTTTAACCCTCGCCGGCCGAAGGGGGGGGGGGCGGGTGCCGCCCCCATAGGGTTTTTTTCGCGATAGCTCAGAACACGCTGGTGATAGAGAGCTGAAACTTGGCATACTTGACCTTTGATTCAAGCCGGATCTTTTGACACCAACCGCATTTTTAGGTCAGGTCAGGTCACTGACCTATGACGTCATAAGTGAACCTCTGCACGGTCTTCAGATGTCGCAACTTCGCAACGCCCTCACTGCCAGAGGAGATGTCACAGGGAAATGAAACTTGCAGGATCTAGTATCCATTATGAGTCTCACATTTTGTATATCTCGGATTTTTCCTAAAGGTCATATGAGGTCAGGTCATTTTCGTGACCTCACCATTATAAGTCAATTGGGAAAAATGAAAACTGCTGTTCTGGCGCCGGGAACGATCTCCAACTATATCAAGCACAAAGAATCGTGATTTGATGCACTCCTTGCAAGGTTAGATGCGTCACTTTTGCAATATTGACCTTGCGTGACGTCATTTATGACGTCATCAAGGTCATAATAGTTTTTCGTCAATAACTCTTGATCAAATTGAGCTAGCGAGTCGGGAAATCCACCAATTGACTCAGAAAGACCTGCCGAATTGAATGATATGCAACATGACCTCTTTCGACCAACTTCGTGACCTGGGGGTGTTGACCTGCCCTTGACTTGAGGTCAACACCCAAAGTTGACCTGACCCGAGCAAAAAGTATATCATTCGACGCGCCTGAGCGAGGCGAACACGATGCGGCCAAAATCGCGGCTCTGCGGCCGTTTTTTTGCGAAGTTATTCACCAAAAACTGAACCGTACCTTTGGACACTTGACCTGACCTCAGAGGTCACCGGTTAACCTAGGACCTCGGGTACCAATCTCTGCGTCTCGTAACGGCGCATACGCTCGTTTTTTCCGCGACGCGCTAGCTCCACCAGGGGCGAAACGGCGAGGGGGGTCGTACCCGCCCCCCCCCCTCGGCCGGCGCGTATGTAGAAAACCAATAGGTCCGGCGAGGGTTAAAGGTGTTTTTGGGTATTGCCCACCGATTTGATCTAAGCAGAACGGTTTAGCCTCCAGAGGGCAAAAACTGTCAAAATTTGAAGCTTTTGCGGAAAAGGTTTTATACATTAACTTTTAACTCCAAGCTCGTATTACGCTGACTTTACCGGCATCACGTTTGTCTCGACGAGACGCGTCGAATGGACGATACGTTGATCTGAAAAGGGTCAGCTTGAAAACTTGATCTCAGGTCAAGGTCACGGAAAAGGTCATATTGTATGTCATTCGATTCTTATTGTTAAGCTGAACACATTCGAGGTGTTTTCAGCGTTCTAGCATGTTTCTATCTAAAGTTATCGTCAAAAACTGGTAGAGACGTTTCATGACCTGAGATGACCGCAGGGGCATGAAAGAGGTCACAGATGCATTTTTCAGGTTCAGTGCTTCATGTTCACCTGTTTCCCGATGTTTGAGGGTGTTTTCGGCCAAAAAAAGAGCATTTCAATTTTCTCCCATTAGATTATGATGGAGAGGTCACAAAATTGACCCAACCATAGGTCACCGATATCAGAATTCTTAGGTATACAAATTTTGGTACTGATCCCTTACGCAATATCGTGAGTTTTATTTTCTGGGATGTAACCTGTAGGAATGACTAAATCACAACTTTTAGAGGCATGGTCACTAATTGATTATCATAAATTATGTACACCGAATTTCACGGCCACGGTTTTCTTCACAATTGCAAAAAAAACTGGCAGTTGTGGCCGAAAATGCCCCCACACCCATCCGGGCGAAGGTTAATAAATGATATTGGCACACTTTCGGTAGACTATCTCGGAAATCGAGAAAGTTAGAAAAATGTATGCACACCGATAGATACGCTCGTTGTAAGATCTTTCGGATTTATAGAAATCGTTTTTCGATCAGGTCATCTTTGAGTCACTGGAGTCACCAAACGCATAACTACCAGTAAAACGCCTTTTGGGCGAAGAACGAGCGAGCGAGATAGTGAGCCCTGCACGTGCGGAATGGCGAGGCGGTACTTCCAGCGGGCTTGCGCAAAGCACCCTTCTAACCGGTCGCTAGCGGTGTACCAAATTTGAACGCAATCGGCCCAGCCGTTCCTGAGATCTGGAAGCGGCATTCTGCACGTGCGCACGTGCAAACGGGATCCAAACTGACTTTTGCACGGCACCCTACTAACTGGTCCCCTACCGTGTACCAAATTTGAGCGCAATCGGCCCAGCCGTTCTCGAGATCTGGAAGCGCCCCCTGCACGTGCGCACGTGCAGTAGCACCTTAACCGCAACACATGGGAATGCATTGCCTGGTGGTTGCCTACCTGTATGCCAAGTTTCAGCGAAATCGCCCCAGTAATTACCGAGTTATTAAAATGGGAACAAATTTGACACCTCTTATTGTTGTATTTTGCACGTGCACTGGGGGTGACCCACATGCATCGAGAGTATCCTATTTTTGGTAGAAGGGATGCTGCTACCCTACAAAAATCACCGCAAGTCAATCGCCCAAGCGGCTGCTGAGATATGAGCCTCTCAAAATCACTGCTTTTGCAAAACAGCTTGAACACCCTTGAATTTTCACGTGGCACGTGCCACGACGGTCACTGAGGTGTATCAAAAGTAGTCAATTACGTGGTAGAAGGGATGGGGCTACCCAGCAAAAAAGACCGCAGGCCAATCGGTCTAGCGGTTGCTGAGATATAAGCCTCTCAAAAGCGTTACAGGCCGGGCCGGGCCGGGCCGGGCCGGGCCGCTCATACTGAGATTTTTCCGTTATATTGAAAAGACTCGCTTCGCTCGCTGCGCTCGCTCGCTCGTAATCACGAACATTTTCCCGATTTTGACAGTTTTTCACAAAACGGCGCATAACTTGGAAACGAATAGAGCTACAGGGCCGGGGAATAGCGCATTCGATAACATTTATGAAGCTCTTCATTAATACTGCCAGATTTGACCTAGGGTCAACAGTTTAACCTCCAGAAGGCAAAACTCAAAATGTGACGTTTTGCAGGATACATTTTTGCTTGCAGTACATTTTTACACCAAGCTTGCATTACGTTGACTTTAACGGCATCGCGTTGCTCTCGTTGGTGCGCTTCGAATGAATTATAAGTTGACCTCAAAAGGTCAGCCTAAAAATTGCCCTTATGGTCGAGGTCATGGAACAGGTCATGTTTCTTGTCAGTCGATTCGTATCGGTGTGAGGAACGCGTCTAAAGTATTTTCATCGCTCTAGCTTGTTTACATAAAGCTATTGTTAAAAAACTGCTGGAGAACATTCATGACCTGAAATGAATTCAGGGGCATTAACACTTTTCTGGTTCAGTTTGTCATGTTTACCTGCATCCCGATGTCTGAGTGTGATACGACTTTCTTCCAAAGGAATGGCAGTACCTACAATTTTCTCCCATTGACTTACCAATAATTAATGGAGACGAGAGGCTGCAAAATTGACCTGACCTTAGGTCACCGACATCTAAATTCTGAGATATTGAAATTGTTAGTACGGATTCCCTCAAGCCATACGTCGAGCTTCAAACTTCTTGGAAAAAGTGAAGAAATGACAGAATCACAATTTTGAGAGGCATGCTCACTTAACTTGGTCTGGTGACCTGACCTTATGATACCTTGGGTCAATAATTTCAATTTTCATACACGATGCGAAATTGCCTTATCATAAGCTATACCAACTTACGTTGTGCTACGCGACGTGGTTACCTTTTCACACTTTACACACGCAAATGACGGGTGTGGCCGACCTCCCCCCTCCCCCACCTGGGCGAAGGTTAACGAAAAAGATAAGCGGGTACCATCAGCCACTAACAGGGCACTAACAGGGACCCACCTTTCGTAGTCGTACTTGCAGAAGACCTTGTTGTCCTTGGTGAAGCAGGACTGCGTGAGGCGGACGCGACAGACGGAGCAGACGAGACACTCCTCGTGCCACGAGGCATCCATCATCCGCAGCAAGAAGCGGTCCGTGATCTTCAGACTGCAGCCGGCGCAGCACTCGAGCTGCTCGCACTTGACCTCACCTGGGACACCACGGAGAGGCTAGGTCAGCTCCAGGATGACAACGTTAAACGTTCGCGGCGTATGAATGTGTAAGTGATAAATGAGGGGAAAACGGTATAGTGGGAAGGGAAAGGTAGAAAAGGAGAGGAAGGAAAGAAAAAGATAGGCGAGAGTCAGGGGTATAAGAATGGGACATTTGAAATTTGTGGAACGCATTGAACACAATGTATTTCGAAAGTGCGACGGATAGGGCAAACGTCTTTGCATAATGCTTTCTTTCTAACCGTTCTGCGTGTCGAGGCAATATCAGCCCGTTTCCGCAGAGCGCACCCCAAAATATAAGGTTGAGGCCTTCATGACCTTTTGGTGGTTCACGCTACTTCAGACTCAATCATATTATTCTGACCGATTTTTCGTCGAAACAGAACATTTCATTGCGAACGATAAACGTCCAGTTGTTTCCTATGACTGTTGTTCCATATTTTGACATGGCTGCTTTTTCGCTATAAGGGCTGGCTTTGACCCGATTCCATAAACTATGCAATTTTCATGATATTTGAAAACCTTCAAACGTTATAAGTTATAAGCTTGTGATCTTGTTTAATTGTCGGAACGCCTCTTGGATGTAGGGCATTGTTTCAACTTGAATATTTGAATATTGTGTACGGTGACCGACAGATGGCCTACCGAGACAGGTGGCGCTGCAGGTCACCTCGCGCGCCAACTGGTGTCATTTCAAACCTCCGTCTGGCGTCAGTTGGTGCCTCGCCGCGGCGACCGTCGGAGGTGGTCTTCCTCCCCCTCCTTACCTCTACCTCCCCTCTCATCACCTGAGGATGGCCTAGGGCCGAAAATTTGTGCACACTTCTCTTCGTCGTCCTCTCTTCGTCGTCTTCTCCTCATCATCGTCGACTACAGCATCGTCGTCACATCATCTGGAGGTCAGTCTGGTTTCTTTTGTCTTTACACTAGGGCTTAAGGTCACCAACATACAAATAAGTTATAAGCATCAAACAGCTGATATACCTAGATCTGAGGGCCCGGTAAGTAGGCTGTCGTTCAAAAGTCATTCCTTCACATAACCGGCGATGTAAGATACCGAATGTAAGATAGTGGGTAGCTACACATTACACATGTACAACGAAAACCGTGAACGAGATAAGTTCCAGTTACCCGCAAACTGTAATTCTCTAGCCTAAAAGGTCGTCTACGGCTCGTAACCTCCGCTGCTCTCAAGGTCCACAGCGCGGCGGCGGCGGAGCTGTCATGTGTATTGCGGCACAGTATGTCGTCAGGCGTCTACTCCTAGTGCCATCTATGGGCAGAACCTGAAACTGGCTGCTCGGTGCGCCCACTCGCGGTCCACGGCGGCCGCGCCATGATTTTAGACTCGTCCGTCCCGTGCTTCTATCCTCAGGATACTGAAATCCTTCTCCTCCACGCCGCAACCCCCCTCCGGGCTGGACAGGCAACTTTATCTCATGCGGGCTGCTCCCTTGGAGCGGCACCGCTGCTCCCGAGGGAGCGCACCCCGTAGCCGGGTGCAGTGAGTGCCTTGGGGCTGGGTGGCCTGTCCTCTGGACGGGCTCAGCCCCGGCGACTCACTAGGGTGCCTGCCCAGACCAATGTCTCCCCCTATATCCTATCATCCTCCCGGCTCTGAAATGGTCTCATTGGACCGAAAGGGCCTAACCCAACAAAACAAACAAACAAACAAACAAGATTTTAGACTATAGGTGAAGTTTGACCGCTCGGGGACAAACGGTGGACGCCTAGGCGGTGATCAAGGGAAAAAGACGGCTACCTCGCTGTGTTACGGGCTTTAGAATGTCGGCCTCTCATATCAGACACCAGTTCAGTCGGTGATCACACAATCCGGACAGGTGTGGCGATGATGGTTAGGCAGTCGGCACGCTGTAGCTTTGCCATAGTTCCAGCTTCTGGAGGTGCTGTTAACCTTTATGTACCACGCAAGGTTTCGCCATACTAAACGGTCTGAATCTAATAAGGTCTCGTCTGATTAGGTTCCGTTTCTGGGCCGGGTTACCCACCGCGCATAGGCGTGTCGGCCGGTTGACGGTTCCAGCGGTGGTGCAAACGATGCTGCTGGCATTGAATGGGATGCAACTCGGTGCAGTCTCGAAAGTCTGTGCCCACATAGTCAAAATGAGTCCAAAATCAGGCATCAGCCGAGGTGTGCACTGTACTGCAAATAGCTAAAGCTGTCGTGTGTGTTCACTTGGATCAGAATGGATAAAAAGTTCGATTCAAGCAATTAATTGATTTTTGAAATATGTGTAATCGTATGAGTTATAAAGACATGCCTACAAGCTGGTCTTATAGATAAATATCTACGCGGAAGCATGCGCATTTCTATTTCTTGATTCTTGTAGCATCCCTTGTAAGACCGTTATTCGTTAAAATGGCTGTTGAATAGGCTTCTGCATCAAATATGTGTAGTTTTGGTCTATTGGTAGCTATTCAGATTTCAGAGCTGAGGGGTGAGAGGAGGGAAGAGGGAGACAAAAGGCCGAGTCGACCAATCGACTGATGCACCTCAGCAGCTGAGCTCATGATGTTGGGACGAAGCACCGTGGCTAGACATCAGCTCAATCGGTCCATTTTTTCTGTAGAAAGTACTCGTCTGGGTTGGGCCTTGTTGGACGCTAGGAAAACCCGCTCACTAGGCTAGTTCCAATCCCAGTAGTATCCCGCCCTGGCCGGGTCTGACGTTCCTCCGGATAGCCCCGGGTTTCCCGAGGCTATCCACAGTCGCGCCCATGCCACCCTTGGTTTCCGGTACTTACTATGGCCACCAGCCGCCATCCTTATGGCTTCGAAAGTCTCCTGCACCATCCCGAACAGCGCTTCCCCTCCTCGCACAGACACAAGTCCACGAGTCACAGACAACCGGCGCCGAAACACAGGGACAAAACCGACGCACCGTCACGCCAGTCCAATCTGACGGTCGTCAGAGCACTGCGGTCTGCCGGCCGCCATTGGCTCTCCGCCGCTGGCCCCGCCCCCCGCGGCGGCCGGCGGGGGCGGGACTACGGACCGAACCTGTCGCTGATTGGCTGCTGACTGATATCGACCGGAAGGCTGGTGCGGTGCTGACTGGCCGGCGTGGGACGTTTTGAGGCTGCGGCGGCCGGGCAATCTGTCGCGCCCGGCAGCCGGAACAGGCGAAAACATAGCGACTGGCCGGCGAAACGAGGCGGCTCCGAATGGCTGCAGGTGACCCGGCGTATGAGCGGAAATTCCTTTCCGTTGTCCGGCTCTCAGAAATGTGTGAGGGGTCATTCGCCTTGAACAATCATTTTAAAACGGAAACAGCCATCAATGTTTAACCCTTCACCAGAATCCGTTTATTTCTAACCAAATATTCTTGCAACACAAATGTTTGCGATGGCATGGGCAGATGTATCACAAAGATTCATCAACAGCACTCACTAAACGGTGGGCGATAACATAAAACATTTCAACACATTTCATCTTTGTCCATTTTTGTCTCTACCTACACGGCGTAGTAAATATTCAATGCTTCCAAATTGTGCATGATTTTTGAAGTTCTTTTCGTTAAAAACGGTCCCTTATTTCAATTTCAGGAAATCAAAATTATCAAATAAATTACCGTCATGGGATTTCTTTTGGCCAGCAAAATCAGAAAACAATTCTTTTGAAATGTATCTAATACAGGTATTGCATGCCCACCAGGTTGATGGAACACTTTTTACTTTTGAACAGAGAATAATGTAACCCGCCGTAAAATGAGGGGATGAATGAGCCCGTGCAACCGGCTCAAAAACTCCAATGCATTATGATGAAGTGTGACTTTCAAAGTTAAACATGACATATTTACGCATGAATGACATATTTCCTGCAAACTTATCGAAAGAGAGGTCAGATAACTGAGCCTGAAAGTGAAGTTAAAGGTATGTGTGTGGAGCAGTGTAAAAAGCAAAACGTTAAATTTGGCATTTGACTTTTTCCACTAAAAATAGAGAAAATATCTAAAATGCCGACTTTTAAGCTCTACCAACTGGCGGATCCAGAAAGGCGGTCTTGGCCGCTGCGTGAGGGGGGGAGGAAGTATACCCCTAAACAAGTTTCGCCAAATTTCGAAAATTAAACGGATTTCGATTACTTACGCACTATGTACTGTGAAGTTGAAAACAAACTTTTCCTCACAGAAGTTGTTAAGTTTTCGTTTTATCATGAAAAACGTAAAATCCGTCGATTCCGGGCCTTTGCCCCAAATGCCCCGCACCCTCCCGGGATTTGTCAGTGGCTGTAGGTACTTACACTGATTCTAGAACGAGCTGGATGTCTGCATAAATGAGCATTGAACAGTGAACAGGTGAAAAAAAGACTTAGATCATGCCTTGTATGCCTGTTAGTTACGTCGTCATACGCTTTTACTTTTTAGGCTACCAGAAGACTCAATTGTAATTATTTCTATCAGCCTTCCCTGGAAATAGTTTTACGCAATGCAGCTGGATGCTGGAACAGTCCCAGCTTCTCTCTTCAGCTGCTTTAATTGGTCTCGTATTTTAGCAGGTATTATCCGGAGTAAGCTCCGGTATAATCCGCATTCCCGCAGAGTTCTGTTGGTGCCGGCACGTGCCGCCTGTTGGCACGTGCTCCCTCCCTTTCTGTTCGCCGTCCCGGCACGTTTAGTCGCCTGCGTCAGCCGTCCGCCGTCACGGATGGATAAACACCTGAGCGGTCCCAAACAGCGGCTGCGCCCGTCGCCCGGCTATCACTCGGTAAAAACGGGCACGCACGCGCACCGCTGCACAGGTTGCCACGGGCGAGCTGATGAGACTGCAGAGCTACAAGGGGTCACAAATGGAGGAGAAAAGTCGTGTGGGGCTTAGTGATCGTCGTGTGATGTGGAATTAAGATGTCTTTGATTTTGAATTATGCTTCACAGTTCGTTATCTGCATCATACACTCTGAAGGACGTCAGGGGCTATGATAGCAAAAGTTTCACATCTCACTTGGAATAAAGCGAGAAAGCATAACACGATCAGGTGCAGTGGCACATTATGTATAATGCCCATTCAGACAAGCTATTCAATCCGTCTTGCAGATTTTTCTTTTGTCGCTTCGTCGTAAGCCTGGCCTGCTAAATTCATGAGGTCAGAGAGTGTCTGAATTATTTAACAACCGATAAAAATGCTAAATCTCCTGTTGATCAGAAGATAGTGATAGATTAGGCGTAGTCCCGTGACAGAAACGTATTTGCATCAGTTTGTGACTGTCTTTCCAGAGTCCATTAATTATGCTCTGCAACAGCGGTACTGATGGCTGAATCAACTCAATTTATCAGCAACGAAATCGACGGCTATTAGTGAAAGCTTGCGAAATTAAACGTGTTACAGCAGCCAGTATGATAGATTGCGCCAAGTCATCCATGTCAATCTAATTCAACCTAATTGACTGATCCTACCAATTTACTGGTCATTTCCTCCCGCGGCTCTGCCAACAGCTGATCGGGCCCCGAGCCCCGATCAGCTGATATTTTTACATTTTAAATCACTTACGGCTGCACTGTGCGATACACAACGTATAACAATTAGTCTGGCTAATGATATTACACTGTCCGGCCAGTATTCGGGCGCACAATGGCCCAGGTGCACGATAAAATGACCATTACATGGCTCATTTTTCAGCCGATTACCCCGTGAGCCCGGGCGGCAGTGCGCTGGCCCGCCCGGTCAGGGATTAGCCGGCGAGCGGCGGCACGGGACCGGAGTGCCGCGCGTCCCTCCCCTCCCCGACTTCCCTCCCCTCACCGGATCTCCCCCGGGACAGATCGGAGAGCGCACCCAACAAACTCAAACAAACACCTACTCCTCAGCTGTCTCCCACCGGCGACTGAGGCGTCTGAGGCGGTGACAGTACGGCGGTAGGCGGCTCGGCCCAGTTCGGGCCTGGGAAGGGTCGTCTCAGCTATCTGGCTCCATGTTTTACGGCGCCGGTCGGCCGTGTTTGGTGGATGTTCGTCACGTCAAACGGCGGCTATCTGCCGGGAGATAGACGCTCGGCAGACGCGCGTGTACACCGAGCCCAGCTCCGGGGACGGCCGTATCGGGCAGAGCAAACGGCCGGCGCGGCCCCACTGCAAACACGGCACCCCGCGGTCGATACGGAGATAGCCGTCCGCGCGGCCCGGCCCGCCCCTGACCCTCGCCGGACGGAAACTGCCGCGGTCCGGTAACGCGTCCTGCAGACTCTTAGGTCTGAGCTTCTACTGCTCGTGGGCTGTCTTTCACTGATGGGTTCTGTTGGAGTTCAAGTCCAGAGTTTGCTGCAGGACCAATATCTTTCAGAAAGTCGTGCATTTCACAGACTTCTGATGCCTAGTTCATTAAAAGATGAAGAGTGCCAAGCAGATACCGAGGTCAGTTCCGTTTGTTTGATATTCACTGCGGAGTGTATTGGATATTCCCTATATCACTATTCCCTTTTCCTCCTGACCTATGAGCGGATGCCCTGCCAAAGTTTGACATGCCACGACCATGCATTACATGCTTATTACGGGGAAACGTCTTAGGCATTTATATCTTTATTATGAATACGTATACCTTTTACTTACCATATGGCGGCACCGCTTTTAAGTTTGCATTTTTGGGCAACTACTTACAAATGAAGTGCAAAGGGAGACGTCTTCAGTTTGATCAACTGTATGACTGTATTCCTGAATCTTCGTTTTGACAAGACGAGTGAGTGTAGGTTTTTGCGTGGAAACTTACCAAAGTCTTAAAAATCGCCCGTTTAGGTATTGATGAGATCTTCTAGCTAACCGTCACTACTGAAACAATTGTCGAATGCCCGTCCCTATCAGCACACCCAGCCCGAGCGATGCCAGCGAACGCCGCCCGCCCGTAGCCGGCGATTCCTGGATAGGTAGACTGTTCCGCAGCACACATAAGCAGGGCGGCACAGTATTCTGATCGGACTCGCTGGGGAGGCGTGATGAGAGAGGTAGGTATGCGAATTTAACCTTAGACATGTTACAGGGAGTATGCGATTTCAGTTAGTTTGCAACGACCCTAGGGTGGTTGTAACCTCCCTGAACGATCAGTTTGTTTGCAACGACCCTAGGGACGTTACAAAATAACTGCTCGTTCCGGGACGTTGTAACGAAACTAGGGTCGTTGCAACCTCCCTAGTTAGTATGCAACGAACCTAGGGTTGTTACAAAATAACTAGGGAGTTTAAGAATTCATCGAGTCTCGTTTCACAGGAGGGCCGTCAACAATCTTGTCCAATGAAAATCTTGTTCAATCTAGTTCAGTATAAAAGAAAAAAAGAACAAAATTTGAACATTCAGCTCAGGAGCATATGTCGTGCCCGGGACAAAGCACGTAACTGTGATAATTTTGGCTGCATTATATCGCCAGCATATGCTTACATGTAGAAAATATAGTTACTGGGGTAGGTGTGATGGATATCCGTCGCTATCCGTGTGCGGGTTATCCCTCACACTTTTAGGGGTGCGGGCCCTCGTTTTTTCGCAATTATCTCGCGCTAAAAGTGGCCGATCGTGACGAAACTTTGAGTGTCCTCGAACTTATCTACGCTGGTTACACATTCGCTATACAGTTAATGATCCTGAAACCAATGAACTTTGATCTTTGATCTGATTTCTGAGACCATGGCAGACCGAAATGATTTGCCGTTTATGTTAGTGCACATAAAATTGCGTTTCCAGACTTCTATTGTGATTACATATAAATGTGCCAGCATGTGAACTGGTGGTTGTCCCATCCATCGTGATGGGTTTCAAGTTGACTTGTCAGTTGTCTGCCAGGTCAAGGTCATTGAGGTTTGGTGACTTCGGGTGACTGTTTCAAAATTTTACGATTTTAAGGGATTTTTTAAAGCTTATTTCGAATCCAGCATTCGTTGAGACATTTGAGAAGTACGTATAGTTGTGGCGCCAATGCAACTCGCTACGAAGCTGTCGCTG